GAAAAAAAGAACAGAATCGTGTTTTGTTTTTGTCTTTTTTTTTTTAAAAAAAGGCTATTATTTTAGTTGCCTAATCAGCTCAACCTTTGTGGGGAATAACCCCAACCTTTGGATCCATGCCAACAGCAGCCATTTAGGTATTTGCATCTGTTTATCCTCTCAGTCAAAATGCCTTTTGTCTTAGTTTTGACAAGGGAGTGCAAATGTTCTGACCCCAACAAGCAGTTCTGGGGCACTGGATAAAAAGCATCTATTCCCCCTTTTATAAGAGGATGGACACATACTTTTACCCTTCTTTCTTTCTTTTTACCAGCTCTACTCTTTTGAAGGGAATTGTTGACAAGACCTGCATAATTCAGCTTCCATGGGTGTGGAGAATCTCTTGCACACTCTTTGGCCTTTTCAGAACTCCTCTCAAGAGCTGGGCCCCTATATCACTTTGAACATGAAAACACGTCTTACTTTTGTGAAAGCATCTGTGCTCAGTTTACCATTTTTAACCCTTTTACCAATCTGCCTGCAGTAGGAAAGCATGCTATTTTATTTGAGCATCCGGGCTGTAAACTAAAGCAGAAGTAAAGCAACCTTCTAGGAATAGGATTTCTGATTTTTAAAAAAATCTAATAATAAATCTAACTCTTTTTCATATATATGTGACAAAGTGACCCTTACATTTCTCCAGGTACTGGTCAGCTGTCAAAATTAAATATTTTCATACTGCCTCTGAAAGTTATATTCCTTGATGTTATGTGTTGAAGGATATTCATTTCAGGTATAGTAAAGATTTTTATGCCATACACATCTAATTAGAGGGAATGGGTAGACTTTGTTAAGAAGAATTATTGGAAATGTTGCACATTGTGGACATCCTTTCCACAAGATTTACAGCCAGACTAAAGTCTGTGCTCTGTACCATGAGATCCGTCATTTACATAAGCAATCTTTAAAGTTCATGATTAATATCATCTTCCATGGAACAGTGGAAATATAGGAGGAAGATTTTGTGTGAAACTGAACCTGGTGCAAAAAGGCAGTATTTTCTAGTTTCAACTTGGCCTTTTTAAATGACACTCCATCCTCTCACATTTCCTACCCCCCAGGGGGAAAAAAAAGCCAGTTATGTCTAAAACATTTGGCAAGCCTCCTTTGAGATCAAACACAAAAATAAAAGTATTCAGAGGAAGTCCAAATTAAGCCTCTGGCTAGATCTGTGACATAAATTTAAGATCCAAGCTTAACTGGTCTGGTAAGCCAGATAAACTCCACGCTGAGAAAGAAGCCTGTAAGATTGCTTACCAAAAGCTAAGTTAAAAATTAATTCTTAACTCCTAGTGAGGAGTAGTGTGCAATTCTAAGGGCATGTTCTCATAAACATGCACATTATATACCCAGATAAACATTCACATGCATATATCCAGGGTTTGCTAAATCTTGTGTACACTAGAAATGGCAGGTCTCCTTAAACTAAGACCTGGTTTCATAGTAAATTGAGCTTTTATTTGGATAAAAGTTTTTCAGAGTTTTGTGAAAACTTGAGCAGTACCGGCAGTTTTGTAACTGTCTATAAGATGTTATTTTCAGCTCCAAACAGATAAACGAAGTATATCTGTATCTGGACTATACAGTTTCAGATTGCTAATGGACATGCATAAATGAATGATTCTTATTTTAACAAATCCCTACCGAAAAAGAGATGCTGGATTCTAATGCACTTTGTTTCCTAAATTGTGGTGACTAGATCTATCCATGTATTCCAGGGAAAGGTAGGCCAATGATGTCCTTTCAAGGGCAAAATAGAGTGTGATCTATGCAGAAGTAGGCTGCTGTTTTACATGTAAGAACAAGTGAAGTATCCTCTTTTTGTTGTTGCCGTTGTTTGGACTCTCAGTATATAAAAAGGTTAATGCTAGAAGTGACAGATTTAAACTTCAGTTCAAGACACTAATTTCCTTGATAATAAGTGTTACATAAAGATATAGCTAGGCAGCATTCCAGAAAAAACATCTTTTTAAAAAAATGATATGAGCCCAGTCCTGAAGAAAGTCACTCTGTTTTTGCCTTATCTCCATAACAGTCATGTCACTGAGATGTATTCTCCCTTCTGTCTAGAGCAGACTGCCATCTGGGGTGGGGTGGGGAGGGGGGATTTAAATATTACAGAAAATGAACATGGGGAGTCACCTAGCTAAATTTCATTTGCAGCATGAGGGGCAGGTTCAAATCACCACTCATCCAGAACCACATTGAACAGCCCTGAACTAGTCAGTATCTCTCAGATAAACCTACATTACAAACCTGTAAGAATAAAAGGAGGAACCACCAGAAGGATATATTATAGAGCTGGGAAAGATACAGAAAAGAGCAATGAAAATTATTATAGGGGTGGGGAAAAAATTGATATATGTTATCTGATATACAGCATACAGGAGAATATAAACATAGGAGGCAGGACAATTAGGTATGTT